CCCTGGACATCACAAAATTTCATCAAAATTCAAGATGGTTGTCCCATATCAACAGTGCAGAGAATCACTTCTCATGTATTTGCCTTATAGTACATTCATGCAAAACAATATTTTTTCATTGGTCAAGAGGAGTACGATAACAGCAAGTACAATTACAGCGTTAATTTAAAAAGCCTTAAAAAATATTCTTAATGCTACAAAAATTATACCATTATTAATCTTTTTCATAATCAAGTTTGTAGATGTAAGGTGTATTTTTGGCTAAACATCAACAACTTGGACACAAACCTAAGAATTTATTACAGTTTTTGTTCATTTACCATGCGAATCAAGGGACATATTTCCATTTGTAGTTTTCAGAAGAATCAAATAACWTAAGCTTAAGTCGTTTAAAGTTGAAGTGGAGGATGTGTTTGTTATTTTTACATTCCGCCAAAGCGGTTGTCAAAGTGAAGAATTATTCATCAAGCGGGTTAATAATTACCGATATTTTTCTTCCATCGAAAACAACGAACTTCTGATATGCCGACAACTTCGATCGTATTGTACTTGATAGGTTAGGTCATTTGGAAGGTCTTAAAAGGGTAAGCTTAAATTTGTGCAACACAGAGATTGTCTGCATGACTACGCAGTCCATAACACGAAAATTATAACTTAGTTTCGGCTTAAGAAGGAAAATGAAAATCTTACCTGGATGAACAGCTGCACTAAAGTCAGTAAAAAAGCTGAAACTTTCTTCATTACAAGTCAATCTAAGAAAAATGTTTTGTACAGCTTTTTAATACGAACAGCTTCTTTCTCTTCCTTGTGTGTTTTTCGTCGATGGAGTTCTTCGATACCACGAAGATCGTCCGAACATGACGTAATTCTTTCGCTTTCCGAATACTTTATCGAGTGCTTCCGAATTTTTTTTTTTTTTTTGAAAATAGGTCCCAATTTTATAATTACTTATCTAAAGTTTTTGATATGGAATTAACTTTGTACACGAATAAAAGTGTATTTTAGCTGTCAAATTATATATGCCCAGCTAAAGAAAACACAAACAAGCTAAAGAACGACCACTCTCGTAAGCGACCATATCCCGTTTGCGACAACTTTTTAAATTTCCCGTTAWAAWTAWTTCCCATATAAACTCTGTAAAAAAAACTCTCGTAAGCGACCATCTCTCGTAAGCGACCACTTTTTCCTGATCCCGAGGTGGTCGTACGTTTACGTTGTCGATCCCATTGCATTGTGGATGATATTAGAATTCAAGATGGCGAGCCGTTTTCCAGCTTCTGCCCAAATGAAGATTATGGCGGCCGGTATGCCTCAACAAGGAGGAATGTATCAACGTCAACAGTTCCAACAACCATCATATGGAGTACAGGTATTGTAATTATATTTTAGCAGTTAGTTTATAAAAACTAAGACAACTTCACTTTGTCATGTAAGCACGAGATTCAAACAAAGAACTCCGTCCATCTGTAAGCTTACTAGACTCAGACTCGATAGTCAAGTCTTTCACATTTTAGTTTGTCATTGTTCTACGTTGTGACTTTAATGAACGAAGATGAATCAGAAGTGAAATTTGAAAGATGAGGTTCACAATTACAGTGAATAAGTTATTTTATTTCAGTTAGGTTTAAGTTAATTAACTTAGAGTACATAGATCTCTTCACTTTGTATCTTTCCTTTATACCCAATTGTAAGTGTTTCATCCACATAAAATTCTAAGTAAGTAATTAGGTATGTTCTTTATTAGAGACCTACTGGCACAGGAAGCCCAATGCCAATGCGCATGCCAGCTCCATCAGGATCCCATCACTATTCACCTAATGTACCGAGGGCTAGTCTAGCTCCTGGTGCAGCAGCAGCAATGGAACAAGCAAGGAGACGTCAAGACTTAAAATCAAGACGAAGGTAGCRTCGCATATAATGATGTCTGAAAATGTTGTTAAAAATGCAAGCTTATAATTCTCTCTTTCCCAGGAAAAAGAAAATTGCCGACAAGGTCCTCCCACAAAGAGTAAGTTTTGTTTGTCTGCTTTGTGAATTGTTATTCTTTAGAATACTACAATAGTCTAAGCATTTGAATACTCTTTAATTGTATATCTAGGTAAGGGATCTTGTCCCTGAGTCACAGGCCTACATGGACCTTCTAGCCTTTGAACGGAAGCTGGATGCAACAATAATGCGTAAAAGAATGGACATCCAAGAAGCCCTTAAGAGGCCAATAAAGGTTACAACATTGTCGCCAAATATTTGTATGGTTTGGGKTTGGAATCATTAGTCATTCTTGAAATGAATTTAAATTAGGCTGAAATAGTGGGAAAATCTAGTGTAAAATCTTTGGCTAGTTTAGAGTAATTCATTGAAATATATCCATTTAGTGCGATTGTATGTGAGAGAATGTAGTGCAAGTCTCCAACTATTATTAAAATGTTGTCATCTTCTTTAGACCAAGAAAAAACTAAGGGTTTACCTCACAACAAACTTTCACACTCCTAAACCAGATGCAGAAGTAAGTCAAAATTACCCAGGTTGAACATCTTAGCAAGATCTTGTAAGATCATGGAAGATCATGGAACATTTCTTGCCAAAATCTATATAACAAGTCAATTCAATACACATTTGATACATTTGATATGCATACAATCATACAACACAATGATTAATTGAAATTAAAGTCATTATGTTATGTGTCATTGAGTGGGATATTGAACAAAGGTACAGAACCAAATCTTAATCAAGATCATGCCATAATTTATTCAGATTCTTGCCATGATAAAATTAACCTCATGCCAAGATTATTGAAGTTCTTGCTATGGTATTACCATGAACATGCCATGATCTTGTAAGATTATGGCAAGATCATTCAAAATAAAGGTAAATGTATGAATGATATCTTGCCATGAAATGGTGAGATCTTGCCATGAAACTAGCAGGATCTTGTTATGATCTTGTCACAAGATCTTGTAAGAAGCTACAAGAAATACAAAGAACTTGCATGTTTTTTAGCAAGATCAAGTTATGATCATGGAAAGATCATGGTAAGATCATGCATGATCTTCCATGAATCTTGCTACGATGTTCAATGTTTCCAAAATAATATTTTCCCAGTTTGTACAGTGTTTTTCTACTATTACAGGATGAAGAAGCCCTGTTACCTTCATGGGAGTTACGAGTTGAAGGAAGGCTCATTGAAGATGTAATGTATAGTCATCTTTGCAAGACGATGTTTTTCAAACATTAATGCTGTAATATCTTTCCTTTCAGCCTAATAACAAGACAGAAGTACAAAGAAAAAGAAAGTTTTCAACATTCTTTAAAAGTTTAGTGATTGAGCTTGATAGAGAGTTGTATGGACCTGACAATCATCTGGTTGAGGTAGGAGCCTTGCATACATGTAATACTCTATTTGTGAAGAGAAAGATAATTCAAAAAATGTCTTTGTCATTATAGTGGCACAGAACATCTACAACTCAGGAAACAGATGGATTCCAGGTAGATAGATATCTATATTGTTCTTATAAGATCAGTCCAAGGTAAAATGTACAGGATTACTTACTTGTATGTTTGATGACAGGTGAAAAGACCAGGAGAAGAGAATGTTAAATGCACAATCATGTTTCTACTTGATTACCAGGTAATCCCRTTAGCATAGTGCTGTTCTTGGTGTTTTGACAATGTTCTTTGCAAATGAATGATAAATATATTTTCTTGCAAGTTCTTTGGAGATTGTAATGTGTTTTTTTCCTTTCATTCCAATAAGACTGACATGTTTTGTTTGTAGCCTCCACAATATAAACTAGATCCAAGACTTGCTCGTCTCCTAGGGATACATACCCAGACCAGACCAGTAATAGTCAATGCCATCTGGCAGTACATCAAGGTAAAACTAGTTTTGTTGATCACTGGATGCTCTACATGACAGTAAAGTAAATTATGACAATCAACAGAGCCATAACCTTCAAGATGCACATGAAAGAGAGTATATTAACAAYGACCGCTATTTTAAGCAGGTTTGTATTCATTTCTTCTCAGTCTCTTTGTCTCCCAATATTGTATTTGACTATTATTGATTTTTATACGTCAGATCTTTGAGTGTGAGCGTATGAAGTTCAGTGAAATACCTCAACGATTAAGCCAGCTATTGATGCCTCCAGATCCAATTGTTATCAACCATCTCATCAAGTATGTAGTTTGTGTTCAATTKATTTATTTGCTTGTGTTCAACTGAATTTCAATAATCCAGCTTTATAACATTGAATAAGAGTAGGATAGATTTCAGACAAGCAAATTAAGTGGAGTATAGCTAAGGGTTAGGAAGAACAAAACTAGAAAAATATTGTCTGTTTTTTTAGTTAACACATTGTTGTTCTTGCAGCAAAGATGTACCAGAAAATAAACGTGTTACTTGTTATGACATTGATGTAGAAGTGGTAAGTAATATTGTACATGTACCAGTATGTATGATTRCTGTTGTATAATCTATTATATCAAGAACGTTGGCTTTGTCAGTAAAGGTTTTTTAAGTAAGTAAGTAAGTAAAGACTTTATTTCTTGAGGGTAACACATAATAGTAGAACTAACAAACTTGTGGCCCTCCCTAAATTACTAAAATTATATATGCAATTACTATTAAAATACTATAGGATGACACTCTCAAGGCTCAGATGCAATCATTCCTGTTGTCAACRGCCAGTCAAAATGAGATTGCTACATATGATAACAAGGTAACTCATAATGAGAACTGAATGATAGAGATTATCAAGTAATAGTTGATTGATTGATTCATTAGATGATTGATAGATTTACTAACTGTTGCTGATTAATTGGATAATAATACTTGATTGGTTGGATGGATGATTGTTTGATTAATTAAATGATTAATTAAAAGGATAATATTCTTGATTGATTAAATATTTATAGATTTATGAGACGGTTGAGACAATTAACAATCTCAAGATCAATCGTGAGTTCTTCCTGGGTTTTGCACGAGATCCACAGGAGTTTATTAACAAATGGGTGCAATCCCAGAGTCAAGACTTGAAAGTCATGACAGATGTTGTAGGTAATCCTGAGCAAGAAAGGAGAGCTGACTTTTATTACCTTCCCTGGTCACAAGAAGCTGTTTGTCGCTACTTCTACAGTAAGGTAAGAGAACCTTTTGAGCCCAAAGCAAAACYCTGGTCTTTTAATTATCAGTGTTTCATTACAATTATTATAATTACATGTACATTTTGATTGACAGGTCCAGCAGAAACGTGCTGAATTAGAGCAGGCGCTGGGGATCAGGGGGACATGATACCGACATGTTGGTTTATTTAGTGTTARGATGATATCTGATGGATAAAGAGTTATACACTTACTCAGACGATATACAAGATACATCTTTAGTGTACTTAAGAGAACAACTTTCATAATTTTAAAAGACTTGAAAGATTTGGTTTCATGTCTTTRAAAAAGTCATCTTGAATACTTACTGCCAAACGCGTTTTGCAAGCTTAGCTACACACGATTTTCAGCACAAACCTGTGAAGACTTGGCGTACCTTTTACTAGTGTCTACTAAACAATATGGAACAAATATAATTCCTAGGAATTTTGATTAGATATAGTTTAGAGTAAATAGGCAGACAATTTGATTCACGCAGAGCTTACAACTTGATAGAAACTTGAGGTGCTTCGTTCAGCAATGGCAACTTACGCACTTATGTTAACGGGGCCCATCAGAGACCAGACGGCCATACGAAGCATTCAGTGTTCATTCCACAGAACATGTGTTAAGTAAATACAATATTGATTCAAATTGTGCTAATAAAATGTCATCATTTTGCCAATTGTTATGATTCACTACCATTTAATAAGATTTAACTCATATAATACAATCAAGACAAATGAGTAACCAGAAATTCTTTTCTTGTATTAAGTAATGGCATATAATAGTCGAAATAAAAAGACTAAATATGAATTGTTACACAATGATAACATGGCCACCATTCCACTTTATGTTCCAGTCAAAAGGGTTTGATGAGAGGAAAACCACTGAAAGTAGACACGTCAARAGTATAACAGTTCCCACTGATCTTATGATGTCGATGAACCATGAGAATTTTTTACAGTAGAATGAACACCAATCGTCAACACTTGATAAAGAACTTGAATCGTCTCAAGTCCTTTCAACTTGAAACTCACGAAAATTGGCGTGAAATCGTGTTAAAACCATCATTGATTTTATGAATGTAGCAACTGAACCTTGTTGTAACGTTCAACACGTAACTAAGCTGATTTCAACTATTAGTTTTTAAGCAAGGAATTCTCCTAAAAAACATTGGCATGTGGTGTATGGTTCAAACTGGTGACCAATGATTCTTACAAAAGATGAAATATTTGACWTACAGTAAACACCGCAGATTACGCACACGGCCATTGAACCGTGTGAAACGAGCTGTTTTAGCTTGAGAGTGTTGCTTTGTTGATTTGTAAATAAACAAGTATATCAAAGGAAAGTGGCAGGTTAGAGGGAAAAGACAACGGGTGGGTCACTTCGTCAATTATTCATCAAAACCAATCGATTGACAAATTGAACGTGAAGAAAAAAATCGAGACTGTCTGGATACAAATGTAATGATATTGTAATTGAACAATAAAGCGCATAAGCAATATGCACAAAAACAGACATGAATTTGAACAAGAAACGATGAAAATGGAATGTTATGAATATGTTGTTRCTCGTCCCGCCTAAATCGCGCATGCGTGGTGTCATGGAAGGTCGAACAGGGTACCAAACCGATTCTTTTGTTGGTTAAGACGGGCACAAAGAATTCACCGGCAAAGAACACGTCAACCTTGATGAATCTTTAATAACCATCAGCGCATAAATACAAAGGTAGCGGTTTTCAAGCTACATTCATAGCTGTCTTGCGAAGGAGTCACACAAGGTTAGTAGATATCGCGAACAGCCAAATTACCATTGCCAACCAACATTGTTCTAAATACTTTACTATTTATTTTGCTAGATGGCCTTCAAGTTATTCTTCGGGGCTTTAGCCCTTATGGTCGTCTCCACCTACGCCAGAAGCAGTAAGTTTGATTGAATCTATCKTTATTTTATTGTAAAATTAGGTTACCTAAGAGAATCATTTGAAAAGTTGAGAAAATCCTAAAAAGACTTCAGAGTCTTTTCCTTACGTTAAGGAATTTGATTTCTAAATCATTACAGTAAAACGATGATTTTATTTTTAATTGTTATACAATTGAAACTAGCCCATCCTATACTATTCATAAGATTGAAAAAAGGAACTTTTCATATTTACTTAATCAAGCAGTCAAGTGAACAGTTACTGCAAATTGAAACAAGAGATCAGTCAGTTTTATGGAACAATAGATCGCCTTATTTAAAAACCACTACATTCAACTATTACTTTTATAAACGTCGCTAGTTATAACATGTCAAAACAACATCAGACAATTCTAATATCTCCAAGGAAATGTTTCAAGAAAGTTTTCAACACTTGAGATGCGAGATTTTCTCCTGCTTTGTTCAAAAGGCCGTATCATGGCCATAGCAGAAATAGAACAAAAGAACAATTCGTGCATACAGCACCTGTCAACGAATGATGAATGATTAATGACAACTTGCAAAGATGATTCATTGATTTGTTAATTAGATATAATAAGATATCGTAGTTGAAACCTACATTTTTTTTGGAAGGATTTTTGTCTTTAAGAAATTTGTATATAATTGCATTGTATAATTGATATTGCATATGTAAGAATTATTGATCAATGGAAAATATTTTATTCGAATACCTTTATTAATGACTCGTTTGTTTGGCTTTTTGATGATCGTTGCGATTGTTTTAATGTTTTTTTGTTGTTAACAGCATACAAAAGACACGCCAACCCATGTCCACCAGGATGTCCCGCATCTTGTGCTCCAGCCTGTGCTGTGTCTTGTTGTCTTCCACCCCCTCCTCCACCACCACCACCTCCACCACCACCACCACCACCACCAGAGCCAGCAAAGCCAGGACCACCAGGACCAGGAGGTAGAATGGGACCACCAGGACCTGTCGGCCCAATCGGACCTATGGGAGAAGCCGGACCACCAGGACCTCCAGGACCACAAGGACCTCCCGGACCACCAGGAGAGCCTGCTCCACCACCACCACCACCACCTCCATGCCCACCTGTTTGCGCTCACACCTGTGTCAGCTCCTGCCCAGCTGGATGTTGTGGTGCAGGTCGTCGATAAGCTGCCCAGCTTCGTATTGTTTTTATACATCGTTTTTGTTATGTACAAACAGGAAGAAGAGGAGACGACGTTTAAATGAAATTTATTTTTCGCTATTCATAATCATATTTCTGTGGCCACAGAGTTTTTTGAAGTCTCAATGTAATTTCTTTTCATACACGCAAGATATTCCTTTGAACGGATCGAGTTATAGAGTATAAATACAGTTTTGTTATGTTAGACTAACGTGTGCACTTTGTATTAAAAGATTGAACCAAATCAGTAGAGTGTTTGATGCCTATTACCGAGTAATATTACATTGCCGATGCAAAATCGATTAACCATTACAATACCGAAAACATTCAGTCACAACACGATTCTTATAACGGTCTTTAACAGTGATTAAGGAAATTATCCGAAGACCGTAGGTTCGAATACCAGCGAGGTCGGAAATTAATTCTAGCACTATTTACGACTTTCTAGTCTATCATCTCTATTTCAAATTATGACAGGATTTTGATTCTCAATAGCATATTCAAAACAGGGATAATATTGTGTGCGGTTATGAGTGCGTTTGATCTTTGTAAGATCGCCTAGCGTGAATGGGCGTGGTCGGTGAAAGAAACAATGAGGTGTTTAAAGTTAGTTAATTTAAGTTGACATTATTTGGTTGAAATAATTTTTTTTGTGTGTTTTTTAATTTGTGTTTTGGCCGATTTTCCTGCTCTATTTTCACATATGACGGTGTTGCTAACTTTCTCATTTGATTCTCATTTTTATGGAAAAATAAAGGAACTTATGAGATGATAAACTTTGATGAAGCATTAAAACCCATGATTTAGAACAATAATAACATACCATTAAGCAGAAGTAAGACGAATTCCATTTTACAAAAAAATTGTTCACGTTTATTCCACTTTTGAATACAAAAAAGTCACGGCTCCGTCACTATAGTAAAACTCTTTGTAATTATCTTGTTATTGCAATTTCAGATTTTTCAGCTTAGACAATAATATCTCATTCTTTCGACATTCCTGTAAAAAAAGATGTATATTGTCTGAAACAAAATATTTCTGGGTGTACTCTTTAAAYGAGTTGGGGTGCACTGCCTTCTCATTGTTAGTCAATGTCTTCAGAGATAAAGAGGATATTCAGTCACTTCACAAGTTGATGATACTTACCTCTGTAAATTCTTTGACGGTCTTGTAGTACAGACGCTGTTTATCAACCAAGTCAAGATATTGGTCATTCAATGCATCTCTTCGTTGCTTCTCAATCGCTCTTTTCTTTTCGACCTAAATGAACAAAAACAAACCGTTCAAGACATATTCAGTTCCGTCTATTAYGCATTCCGCAGATCCAGGGTTTTTGTAGGACGCTGGGGGTGGGTGATGAAGATTAAAAACAAATTGAAATCAAGTATCATTATCTTTCTTTCTATGTTTCGTTTWATCGGAGTTCAAGGGGGAGGGGGGGTCCTGCTTCCTCCAATACCCCCTCTGATTCTATGCTCACCTTTTCTTTGTTTGTTATTACGCCCTTTACAATTTGGTCAAATTGATTCAGAAACTGCTCCTTATTGGCTGGTGAAGACATAGCCCTGAAAACCAATAAACAATAAATAGTGAACAAATATTCACAGGACAATTCACGACATAGAACTTACTGCTCAAAGTTGTCGTGTATGGAATTGAGTAGGTTGACCTGAAAAGTAACATGCTTTTCAATAACTAGTACTACAGACAGTTCATAGTACGTCRTACGTTCAAATTTCAACCATTATAGGGGCAGCTACATGCGATCTTTGAGCATCTATTTTCTCCACAGTTTTATCATAGATACGTCAACATGGCCTACCTCTTTCCCAAGGTAAAGCTTTGAATCGTCCAAAGTGTTGTAGAGAGTGAAAAACTGCTTTGTTTCTTTATGTGTAGCAGCAACTAAAAAATTGAATTAATAAATTTACAAAAAGAGGATCTTCAACCACATCAATATAACAGATATTATCATTAGTTTGTGAGGGCAACTGTACCCTGATTGTAGAGTTCTACAAAACGTCGTTGGTACTGTGTAAGTTCAGCTCTTGATGGTACTTCATCAACCTTTCTCTGTAAACCAGCAATCTCTCGGTTCTTGCGAGCCTATRACAACAAACAACAATTTGGTATTGCTGGATTTATTCATATCAAGCAATAAACCATACCAGCAGAAGACGAATGTTTTGTAGCTTGGCCCTATCAGCTTCATATTGTTTGTCAATTCTGTCCATTCTTTCCTGAAAGCACAACATTTATGAAAATAACAGTTACAATGAAAAAGTATAATTAGTACCCTACTAATACCATCAAATATTATGCCTGTAAACAGGGGCAGCAGAGCCAAAATTAACTTGGGGRGGCACAATCATAGACTTATAGTGATGACGCCACATCAACTTTTGCAAATGCATTTTACTATGACAAAAAAAAATACTTATTGAATGTTTTCCAGCTGTTATGTGGGGGGCCATATAAAATATTTTGTGGGGAGGCCCATGCCCCTTCCCACCCGTCCCCTTCCCCCTTGCGGCTCAGCCATCAACCGCTCCTGGAAAAATCTTAAACCCTTGTCCTTTGAAGTTAAAGTTTGAAGTAAAATTCATAAATTTTCTCTTTCATTAAATTACAAGAGCTTCACAAATCACAAATGATGACAATCAAGATGATTCTATGATGATGATAGGGTAAATGTCAATCCTTGTTGTCATCAATTATTATCATTATATCATGGTAATGCGGTTACCTTTTCATCACTGTCTTCTTGACCTTCCTCTGCTTTCAATTTGTTAATGTTATCTTGAAGACGTGACATTTCTTCCTAATTCCCAATAAAGAAAGTCAGTGTCACACAAAAGCATTCATAGGACATAGTTAATATTGAAAATATCTATTGGAAAGATGGGTGCAGAAAGCTGGGTATGCAGAGAGGTGTGTAGATAGACAGGGCATGCAGAGAGGTGTATAGATAGGTGACAGGGTATGCAGAGAGGTGTGTAGATAGGTGACAGGGCATGCAGAGAGGTGTGTAGATAGACAGGGTATGCAGAGAGGTGTGTAGATAGGTGACAGGGCATGCAGAGAGGTTAAAGGGAGTATAAAAATTTACCTTGCAATGTGCTCTAAACTGTTGTTCTTGCTTCTTAAGATTTTCATTCATGGCAACCAAAGAACGCAGACGGTCTAAAATGCTACATAAAAGTTACGAGAGTTTTGAATACGTGTGAAAAGAGGTGCACATATGTCTGATTAAAACATATAAAACTCACACAGCATTCTCTCCCTTCTCCATTTNATGCAGAGAGGTGTGTAGATAGGTGACAGGGCATGCAGAGAGGTGTGTAGATAGGTGACAGGGCATGCAGAGAGGTGTGTAGATAGACAGGGTATGCAGAGAGGTGTGTAGATAGGTGACAGGGCATGCAGAGAGGTGTGTAGATAGGTGACAGGGCATGCAGAGAGGTGTGTAGATAGACAGGGTATGCAGAGAGGTGTGTAGATAGGTGACAGGGCATGCAGAGAGGTTAAAGGGAGTATAAAAATTTACCTTGCAATGTGCTCTAAACTGTTGTTCTTGCTTCTTAAGATTTTCATTCATGGCAACCAAAGAACGCAGACGGTCTAAAATGCTACATAAAAGTTACGAGAGTTTTGAATACGTGTGAAAAGAGGTGCACATATGTCTGATTAAAACATATAAAACTCACACAGCATTCTCTCCCTTCTCCATTTCATTGAGTTTATCCATTTCTTCATGAATGCGCTCACTTCTTGAGCAAACCTGGAAACCAAAACCAACTGTTTATAGCTGACGTAAGTGCCTTTTTCTGTGTGTGATTGTCATCATGTGAAAAACCTTTCTAAAAGTGCCATTTAAACGTATCATAAGATATAATGAATAACAATATGCAGTAATAATTAGAAAATAAAAAAAAACAATATTAATCTTACTTGAGAGAGTTGTTGTTGTGATTCATCTAGAGAAGCCTGTAACTGCTGCTGCTTCTCTGTAATCTTAAAAAAGAACATGATTGTTTATWTTTCCCTTTTCCTTACTTCCCAGTCTTAGTAAAACAAAATATATAGACCTGTTCAAGTTTCTTTTCTTGTACAGAAATCTGTTTCTCTAGAGACGCCACCATTCTCTTGTGTGCCTGAGCTCCTCCTACACGTTCACCTCTTCCTTCTATGCCTTCTTGGAGCTCTGCTTGCTGCAATATATGAAATAATATTATCTAAGAAACCTTCACAAACAGACTTTTTAACCAAAGAGTCATTTCACCAGTGTAAACAATAATGAATTGAAAGTGTTTACCAGCAAATAATTTGTACTTCCTTGTGGTGAGTACAAATTTGATTATTTCAAGAGTGCAATAATATAATTTATCATATAATTATCTATGAAATACCTATATTTCTCCATTACGTAAAATTGATATTTTCACTTTTCGCTACGCTCACTCGTGAGAGATCTTTTCAACCCTCGAAGATAAAATCCGTATCTCCATGCAGCCATGTAATATCCTCTATGTCTGCAAGTATTTCTTTCACACAGTCCACTAACACAAAAAATAAATATATTGCAATTTTTCTACTAACCCTTTCAGCATATTCAGATGCAATCTGAGAGATTTGYTCAGACTGTAGCTCAACAATTGAACCAACTGCACTAGATGATAACATCCCCTGTTGACATAATTATATATTTKTCACTTTCATTGAATTACACATCAGTTTTCAAGTGACTTGATAGGATTTTAGATGTACAAATACAATGTGCATTGATTATCAACCATAGCAGTAGTGATACACCTTGTCTGGTGATAAAGAACTATTTGCAAGAACTATGACAGTCATTAGTTAGAAGAAATGATGAGTAAACACAATAAAGTTTGCAGGATCAAGACAGGGATACCTCTTTTCCCTCTGTTGCAGCCATGCCCTTCAGAAGAGATGATAGCCGTTTCTGTAAAGTTAACGGGAATTACTATAAAATTTTCTATTTAAAATAATAAACAAATTGATGGGAATGATTCAAAGGTGCATAAGTACTATTCCAGACTAACCTGCTCAATAAGGTATTCATCTTCTTCTCCAGTAGAAGGAGTTCTTTGCCTTCCTGTTGCTGCAGCGGCTGCTTTCTTCTTTTCTGCCTTTTCTTTGTCTTTTTCTCGCTGCTCTTTACTAAATCCAAACTGCCTATAAAGCAAAAACGTGGAAAAACAGAATGGACAAATCTTACGAGTTCAATTGACATGTAAAACATGTGTACAATATAATATTGAAATGTCCATTAGAGAGCAGTCTTACCATCCATATTCTAGCAATGTTGTTCTRACTCTTGTTTGTTCATCAGTATTATCTGAACCCCCTGGTCTGCGATAAATCCTTTTGGGTTTGTATGCATCCTATAAGATAGTTAATTCCCTTAAATTAATGATTAATGATTATATATCAAATTTATTTACATCTTCCTCATGTGACTATACCTTCAAATTCCCTATAGTAGACATACACTTGGGCTTTTTCACATAAAACTCATCATCCTAAATATAAAAAATAACTTGTCAAACCCTGTATCAGATAAATACACATTTTTAAGCTTAAAATTAGCTTTTCTTTGCAAATTCATTTAATGTTTTCTGAATTAAACTATTACAACAACAATAGTACTAGATAATACATTTATTATTAAACATTACCTGAGGTGTTGTATGGCATTTATTGAACTGTGAAACTGAAAATTCTCTGATGTAGTCTCCCATTTCCTCTTTTCTTTCAATGGCACGCTTCACCAGCCACTATTATCACAAAAAGGTGTTAAATGATCTATTAAAATACATTATATTAAGACAGGACTTACCTGAACTACTGGGAAGATGTTGATAAAATCTAACCCTTGAATTTGATGAGGCTCAAGACGATGAGGACATTTCATTCGAGGCAGCACAGCRACAATCTTTTCAGTCAATGCTCTGTAAAATCAGATATCACAATTATCGTTTGCCTTTCACAAAAATTTCAGTTATGTTATATATTTTTAAATGAATATGTCAAAGGTTCTAAAAGTGACTTACATTTTCTGTCCAATTGTGGAGTTCTCTTGAAATAAGAGATCAACATCAACATCAAAATCACAGACAGTGATACACCATGTCATTCCACCAACAACCTGTCAGTAAAAAATACAGCTTAACAAACAAATAGTGTTGAGTATAATGTAAAGCTGCATTTGTGTTTGTGGAGTGTGCACCCCTCCCTGAATGAAACCCTGAACCTGCCCTTGCGCAATTAGCAGTCATACCTTGTCAAAGGGAGAAAGTCCTTTAATGCGTGCTCTGAAATAGCCAGCAGCAAGTAGCAAATCAATGATTTCTGACAGTTTGACATTTTGTTCTTCATCCTCCCTTGTCTCAATCTAGAAGGAAAATATAGAATGGAAGCATCATGATTTCAACTTTCCCAGAGATTTTTATGAGACAACAAGCTATTATGATAAAATTAAATCAATCAGCTGTCTGTCACGTGATGGATAGTGATATGTTGAATTTATAATTATATATAAAAACATAACTCAAAAATAATTTTAATATATATTTATATCACGGGTTCAAAGTAAAAACAAAGCTAATGCAATCAAAATACTTTCCAAATACGAAAGGAGTTTAGAAGAGGCGGTGATATCTCGCCAATATGCAAGTCTAATTTAAATCATATATTCAGTACCATCTCAATCCAAAGGACTAAGATAGCCTACCTTTCGCACTCTTCCCTGTTCATCCAGTTCAGGCTGTTTGAACTTCTCACTATAAGTCTTGACTCCAGCGAATCTGGACCCTTGACTTGGTTGACTAATGGTCGCCATCTTGATTTCCAAAATTATACCACAGGAATCCCAACCTTGTACAACTTTTATACATCATGTTATCAGTTATTTGCCACAATTTGCTTTATTTTCCGTAATTTTAAATCCTTTGCATTTCTCTTGTTTATTTTTCCTTTGCTTTTCTCTTATTTATTTTTGCGTGAGTGTGCAGAAGTCTTCAGCATCAGAATTCCTTTAAATAATGCTACTTTCAATAAAAACTCTTTTAGCTGCTTAAAACTTAACAGTGCATTGTATATAATCCACATAAATTCATGTAACACTATAATTACCTGGAAATATCTAATAATCTGAAAAAAAGTGATTTGTAACACTTTGAAGTTGGGTTTCCTGTGTTATCACTAAGGTAACATGAGGTTRCTAAGGAAAAGTGAAGATAACAAAATGGCGGCCTCAACGCCAGACGATGCCTCTAAAATGTCATCCCATTCGGCTGAAAATCCTACTATTCGTTCTCTTCAAGCAGACGATATGAGTTCAATGCTTGCTTTATCGCGTGGTTCCTCTGCCAAGAGATCATTGACTCCTGTAATAACGGACAGAGAATCGTCTTTTACGATGGACTTTGATGAGTACAAGTAAGAATGATAAGCTTAAGTTATTATTTCAAGTTATTTATTAGTTATTCATTAGTTTGTGACCAATAGCATTGTCTGTTATMTAGATGCAATATCAGTGATAAATTGCAATTTTGAAGGAAGATTAAACTTGAAATTTTGAAATATATCAAATATATCCCATTAGCTTATTGTTTTTTGTTGTTTTTTTTATGCAGGCCATCTCTTGCAGACCAAGTGAGGATAGGATATTTCAGTCAGGATAGATCAACACARACTGAAACTAGTGACATTATTCAATTGCAACAAATGACAAATGTTATGCGGCAGCTGGTAGCAGTGAGTACATTTTATACAATTTTTAACAATTTTTTTTGAAAACACAACGTTTGATTGTTGACAAAAAAATCAAAATAATAATACTTCGCCAAAACCTCCTATGCAAAAAGTCTATGATTTKTGATATATGCTGATAGAATTCWACTGATTTCAAGGATTTGGACACTATGAAAAGAAATATACATTACGCAAAGTACATCCTTAAAGCTGAGTATGAAAACCAACTACAGGAGCGGTCCTTAGATTTGTAAGTCTACAAYAATGTTGTTGCCACACACAGTTTTTCCACACAGTTTAACAGTTGTATAATGTTGCATAATATACTGTAGTAAGGTTACTAGYATTAACAATACTTAAGCATAAGTTTTACTTTCGATACCAAACCTGTATTTTCTGCAGGGCCACAATTAGCAACTCTGGCAGGACACTAKATATGACCATTTTAAGATCCTCACCAAATTTTGTTCTTCTAAASAAGTTGTTTTTCATTAACTTCCAGATATTGTAGAGTCAATGAAAGATTACTGGAACTTGAAAAGGAGCATCAAAAGGTAGATAAATTATAATTGTAAATTATTATGATTTATKATCATAATTATCATATACTATTATGCATTCCAATATACATCAAATCCTCATGTTTGTTTATATCATCAGAGAGTACAAGTAATGAGAAGGTGTTTCAGACAACAGTTAGGTGATGCAATTAGTGAAGTAGCCAAGAAACATAAGGTAAACATCAATACCATTCAGTTATGGCATGTTTTACTAGAGGAAAAGGATTGACATAYTCATTTGTTTCATCAGACACACTACCAAAATAAAAGAAAAGAAGAAAATGCTAAAATGGCTGAAAAATTGGATAAAGTGAAGGGTGATGATGATGAGCATAAGAAAGCAAAACAGCAACAAGAAAGTATCTTGGAAATGATGAGGATGCAGATGAGAGAAGCTCAAGAAAGAGCTGATGCTCAGTTGCAGGAAGCAYTRGAAAGAAGAGCATCCCCATCAAGTGTAGCCACTGATCCAGAGATTTATGAATTAAGAGATGAGGTCGCAAATCTGGAGAAAAGACTAGATGATGCATTAACAGAAATAGAAGACAAAGAAAATGAAAACAGAAGACTAGGTAAAATAAACTGTACCAGAGTGATAACCTTTGGCTATATGAAAGCTACTATGATTGACACAATGA